TAAATCTATGTTTGCATATCTAGAATTATGCACACATGTATATAAAAATGTTACCCAAACCCTACCTTGCGATCGTGCTTGTGCTTTTTCTCTGCATCCCGCTCCCGTCTCTTCCTCTTCTCGTCATCCTTTTTATAATCCTTGTCCCTGTTTTTCTTAGCACTTTTACTACTTGTTTCCCCTATATTGTGTCTATCTTTCTCTTCCTGTTTACCCAACTTCTCCAACACTCCCGGTGCCAACCACGTATCATTTCCCCTGTCTTTGTGTCTCTGTTTGTAGGCTTCTTTACGCCTATATTCATCTTCAGCTTCTCGGAGTTGTTCTTTCAGGTATGCTTTGGTCTCTTCTCGTTTACGATCAATTTCGGTACCGGATACGAAGTTGTTTAAATCAGACATGATTGCTGAGTTTTATGCATGCAGATTATAAACTTTGTTTGAGTGTGGAGTTGATGCGACGCAAGTATGAAACAGTAGATTGTGCTAGCATATAACTGGATGTCTCTGTGCATGTATTTAAAAATGTATGCATATATTCAAATGTCTCTGTGTATGTATTTAAAAATGTATGCATATATTCAAGTGTGTTTGTGTATATACATGTGTATATGTATTCAATCGATCGAATATACAGTTGTGGCTGCTACTCACATCCATGTGATTGACTCCAGAACTCACAGATAATGATTAGTACGATGTATAAAACAATGTTTACGGATGGCTACTGTATCAAATTAGTAGCATGTACCTACATGCTGCTTCGGTGAGTAATTTTGTGAGATTATTATTGTATAGATTGGGGAATGGGGAGGAAGCGGTCGTGTGAGTATTTAAGGACTTGCTGCCTAAAGAGAAACCTATTTACATGAACGTAGACATAGTCATAGAGACGACATGTGATGCTGTCGAAAAAATATGATATTGTATCAATGACCCTCTAGCAGCGTAAAATTTATTTAATAATGGAGAACGGACAAGTGCGTGGATTGTATTTGGAACTTTCAGAATAGCCGGCATATTATACTCCGTTATCACGATCCGAATAGTTTGAAAGGCCGGGAATTGATATTCGACGGCATATCCAAATTGTATTCCCTGTGTATATGTGAATATGTAGGAAAGTAAGATTGTAAGTTAGTCGTCGTATTTACATAGATGCTGTACGTAGGTATATGAATCTTGTGTACTGAATGCGAGTTCGGATGCTAAACGTTCATATCAGAGTTGCAACACGTATTTTCGAGTATCCAAAGATACCGTACAGCGAATAGCTAGTAACGAATTAGTTTTTTCATCTCATCTCTGGATACCGTATAGCAAAGGTTCGTCACGGCAGATATCAATAATTAAAAAGACAACTCAAATACTATCTGTGCCATATGCAAAGACCTGTTCTTACCTGAAAGAAATAAGATTATAGCGTCTTCTGGCCCTATAACTAATATTGCTTCGAAAAATGGGGTCCTCGCGAAATAGTGGCCATAAATCGAAGTCTTCGAAGCACAGGAAATCAAAATTACGTAAATCAACCAGTTCAAACCCGCACAGAAAGAGTGAGAAGAGGAAGAGTAAGGATGTGAAGCACCGGTGTGTATTGTGAATTGCTTTGCAGCTATACATAAATCTATATTGACAGAGTACGTACACGAATGCATATATATATATATATATGTATGTATGTATATACGTATATGTGCATTATGTATGTATGTATGTATGTATGGATGGATGTATGTATGTGTATTTGTGTGTGTGTGTGCATGTATGTATTTATATATACATATATGTATGTATGTATGTTTGTTTGTATG